GCCAAAAGTGGTACTGCACGCTCCCTGAGTCAGGTTGCCAAATATGCAAACGAATCCATCCTGGGACCGTAATAACTGGATAGACAAGAGTTTTGTCAACAACAAATCTATAACCAACACCTTTTTCATAAAGATTGAAATCCTGGTTTTATTCCTTGTTTTGTCATTAATGATTTGAGAATCATATTAATACTTTTTCTAGTTCTACGGCCACATGTTACTTTACCAGTGAGATTAGCTCGACGCGGTGAGTTCTGGCAAGCTGGATCACAGACTGAATTTGGATTGATAAAACGGCGGAGGGCGGGACATTGAAGTGAAAACAATAACAAGATTTAAGAGCTGTAAATCTATTTATGAAATCAAAATATTTAGAATGAACTACTGTTATCAGTTAAAGAAGTATTGGAAAAGAGCATTGTTTTTTAATGCCTCTTGAAAGATTAGGGCCATTTAAGGAAGACTTGACAAGAAAATCTTACATATTGCTACTTTAAAATCTCCAACTTTAACATGATGAAGAAGCAAGACTTAAAGAGCGACTAAACACCTGTGCCCAGCCTTACTCCGCCCACATGAAGATTTGAAAATGTTCTCTTAAAAGGGCGTTGCCTGGAGGACCAAGGGACAAGAAGGGGGGCTTAGAGTTGGGCGTGGTCTGGGCTGTGATTGACAGCTCACTTGTCACACAAAAAAAACAGACAGTTGTCATTGCTGCTTAAAGCAATAGTTTACAGACCAGAAAGTCTCATTCCACCCTTGTTTACACACTAAGATCATTGTAAAGCTAAACACCTGAACCTAATCACACTCAATAATCTCAGAATCACTCATGTAATTTAATTTTAATCCACTAGATGGCGCCAGAATACTCCAAACTGCAGCTGGGGCGTGTGTGAGAGTTGGATGGGTTTATATCAATGGTGTAGGTTTGGTTCCAATCTTGGTGGGGACATTCACTACGACCCGAGTCTACACCCATTGACACGGGGTCCAGAGTTTCTCCCCCAGAATTTGTTGTGTAATCACACACTATATTTGCAATAGTGTGTTGCCTTCTATACTAAACTCAGCTGTAGACTGAATGAGAAGCAGTTAAGGATTTTTTCTAATAGTTAAAACAAAATCAATTGGATCAGAGCTTCTGAGTTTTGTGTTGCGTTCATTCTAACTTTGTCCACAAGATGGCTTAAATGTTTATAGTAAATAAGATAGTAAGTATATCCTGTATTCAGGATCAGGCTGATATGGTTTACAACCTATCTCAAATATGCTGTCCCTGGCACTTTCTTGAGAGTGACTCTCATTGGCTGCCTCCTAAATAGCAAATACACTGTTATGAAACTTTAAAAAATCCCATATTTTATCTTCATAATTCCAGCCTCACCTGAAGCCCAGCTTCGATATCTGCCTGCACTACATCTTCCCTGAATACCTGAGTTCCCTATAATAAATAAAACACATGTAGTACATTAAACAAATCAGATCTAATCATATACAAAATAAAACCACCAACAAAACCAAATAAATACTTTCAACCTCACCTGAAGCCCTGAAGGTCCAGCCACTTCCTCATCCTCTACCAGCACTGCACATTCCCTGTTTGTCTGACTTTCCTTTATGGTATTAATAAAAACACACATTCTACATTGAATAAAATGAAACCTAGGCATGGTACACCAGTCGCTAAATATCTCATGAAACTAGAATTGGTTGATGGGTCTAAGATTGTAACTGCTTAATCCTAACCTCACCTGGAGTCCTGTCTTGTCCTTGTCTTTATCTCCTTCTTGAATTTCCATTATATCTCTCAGAATGTTTGCATCATTATAGTAGTAAAATATGTTGTAATTGGCATAGGTAATTTCCAACCAAATTATGTTCTTTAACTTTAGTATGATTCTATACTGACTTAAACCTAATCCAAATCTACATAATAGCCCTCACCTGAGGCTCTAACAGTTCAGGAACTGCTCTCGATACTTGAAATAAATCATGCTCTGATCTTTCAATTTCCTATAATAAATAAAAACAGAGGAGAAAATATTGAATTAGAATCTACAGTGAGTAGCTCACTACATTGTTTGACATATACGATCAATCTCTAAAAACAATTCATAGTCCCATGCATACCTACAAAATTCCAACCTCGCCTGATGCACTGAAGGGCCTGTTGCTTCTACCTCAACATTCCCTATATTGTTCTCTCTTGTTGGTTGAGTTTCCTATGTATGTTAACAGAAGATTAATCATCACAATTCATAATTTGCTATTACTTGTGCTTTCTCTTACTTACTTTCCAACTGTTAAAAAAGCTCCTGATATCTTTTATCTTTTTTTGTGGATGTGGCATTTTTTCTAAATTATATAAGAAGGTATAGACAATCAAAAACAGACATTCATATACATGAACTGCAGAATCATTTATATAACTTGGCCAATGTCAAAAGTTACATAGTATTTCTCAATACAATGAGTTAACAAGAGTTTGGCAATAAGTAACAGTGTGGATTTTTCTATATTTTCTTTTTTTTATTCCACTCTCAACCCAAAAAGGCAAGTAATGACTCACAGGGCTCTCAAGTATGCAAAATAAAAACTTAAATGACCTGTTGTGGTGTGTTTTGCGCACAACCAGCATGCATCGTTAACGCAATGGAAAATTTAGGTATCCGAGCTTTAATTTCGGGAGCGCTGGTTGCGCTTTGGGAAGAGTCAGGGGAGAGACATGTCAGAGACACAGGGGAGAAACGGGGGAGATACGAGGGAGACCCGCACTTGCAACATGGTTCTGTCTGCATATGGTCCGAGCTCGGTACCATGTTAGAGCTGTGCTTTCACTGAGCGCCGCGGCTGTCATTACAAAGCGGCAGCAGCTGCACCAGGACGTGCACATTCGAGTGCATCGCTTGAATGTGCTTAGAGCAAATAACAGCAAGTGCCCGCTGTCACACATTTCACAGAAATTACATTACGTTGTAAATCGTGGATCCGTGGAATATTTTCATCCCTAGTTTATCCTGATTCACACAACACACCCACTTACATACATACATTTTGGATAGTAAGAGCACAATAAGTATTTTTTCAGCCTTTCACCTGTTTCTTTATTGGAGCCAGTTCTGTTCTGTCTCTGTATGCCGTGTGAGCTCCTCGGAACATTAAACAGTGTGCTGACAGATTAGAAATAACATAAGTACTTTGAATGGTAATAGATCTACAGTACTTTCCTCTGATTACTCACGTGCTACAACGCTCAGGGAACGAAAAAAAACACTTGCTTCACGCTGGCTAACTTTAAAAATTAAACAGTCGCTCAGTGCCTCAGTTTGGCGCTGAAGAAGACAGCCAATCACTGCAGAGAACGGAACGGGTCACGTGCTGCTGCTGCTGCTGCTGTTGCTCTGGAGGCGAGGAGGAGGCGCGACGTGTGCACAAACGGAAGACATGTGTCCCGGACCGTCCGGGTCACGGGACATCATGTCATTTTGGTGGGGACTTTTTAGTCCTCACCAAATATTGGTGGGGACATGTCCCCATGGTCCCCACGCAAACCTACGCCCTTGGTTTATATCACTGGCTCTGACAGACTGACGTCACACAAAACAACTGATGTCATAGAGAACTTCAGAGTCAATGGAGAGGCCAGGACCAAATTAAAATGTAGTACCACCAAAGAGGTTGAGACGTTTTTTGGCTCAAAAGTGATATTTTATCTAATTTGAACAAAAATGTCAAAAAAATGACCAGGATATGTAGACAGCACTACAATAAACATATGTATGGAGTTTATGAGTTGAAAAAAGTTGATTTGGCGTTTAGTCGCTCTTTAAAGGTTTATAGGAGGATATTCTAGGGCGACAGTAGCTCAGTTGGTAGAGCATTGGCCTTCAGGCCTGAAGGTCATGGGTTCAATTCCCACCTCTACACCTTCTCCTCCGACTCCCACTGATGACTGCTGTCGTTGTGTCCTTGGGCAAGACACTTAACCCCACTTTGCCCAAAGCCCCCACTGAAAGATCAAGACTATGCTCACACGCAGAGAGCAGCCGTCCTCCTGTGGACTCACCACCTGCAGAGGGTCAGTGAGGGGCTGGTGCTATGAGACTTGGGTGGCATCTCTGACTGCCACCCCCCTGACCCAGAAATGGATTAAAGAGTAGAAAATGGATGGATGGATGGAGTAGGATATTCTACTTCCGGGTGGATCATCAAGACTATTGGTCCTCCTAATTGTCAGTCATCCTGGTGATACGTGCTCGTCAAATAAGACCAGAGAGTTTGGTTAAAAAAGAAAGAGGGCAGTTCTTTTCTAAAATTTGGGAAAATCCTCCTATATATATATATATAAAAAAATTACCTTTAAGTACAAAAATCCCTGACTTTAGCATAATAAGGAGCAAGTTTTAAATTCTATATATTCTCGTGCAAGTCATATATTATTCGAGCAGAGTCAGACATAGCAGCAGCAGCAGCAGCAGCAGCAGCAGCAGCAGCAGCGCGCCTCCTCATTGGCCCCCTGTTCTCTCTCCACCGGTCCTTACGTCCCTCCAACACAAGAGGCGTAGCTGTGCGCACTGGGCTCATTGTGCGACTGAGACCAGAGAGAGAAATTTCCGCTTCCTCCAAAAACCATAAACACCAACCAACACGCTGCGCACTCGCCGAACCACTGACTGTGACTGACCCCACAACCACCAACACACCAGGCTTTTTGGCACAGGGGAGCGCGCGTAACGGGGAGGCTGCAATCCACGACAAATATTCATCCAAAACCCGGGCAACTTTTGCAAGGAGCGGGGAGAGAAGCGAGGGAGAATTTTTGGAGCAAAACTGGATACTACTGACAACAATACGAAAGCAGAAACACCACGAAGATATATATATTTATGTAGAGAGAGAGAGAGGCAAAGGTGGGAAGCGTGCGTCTGCGTATGTGTGTGTATATAAGCTGGGATTTATCTAGTTTGCGTTGGGTTCCACTGCGTTGAGTCTTCGGGATGTCGGAGCGAGGAGGGCTCCCGAGGACTGGGGGCGTCCCTTCCCCGCATATGCAGCCCTCCAAGCCGGTCAGCATCTCCTCCCGGCCCGTTCACATGAACCTGTTCGCCACTTGGGAGGTAGATCGATCCTCGCCCAGCTGTGTGCCCAGGTACGTGCGCAAAAGCATCATATTTGCGTGTTAAAAAAACTACAAGAGAAAGCCATGACTTGCTGTTTTGGATGTTTTTGCGCGTGTTGGGAATGGCAATTGTGTGTTGATAGAGAAAGAGAGATATCCCTGGGGTCTAAAGCAACATGGTGGCTCAGAATCAAACCTCAAATGTTATTTTTTCATGTCTGTGTTTAGAGCTGTGGGGGTATCTTTTTGTTGATTGGATTTGTAGCACAGCCATTGATCCAACGTGATCCAATGCAAACGAGATTGCATGTGTTGCTTGTTGTGGTCATAGAAGTGCCTGCCTTGTTCATTTTCGTCTTTACCGGTAGGATTACTTAATGGAATTAGTTGTTGTTGGCATTGCAATAAGCCCTGCCTGTCAATGATCTCATTATTTGTCATGACACAAGTGAAAGTGTGTGTGTTTTCTATTCTTTCTGTCTATTCTTTCTTGTCTCCTACGTCCAATACTTCAAGGTCGACCCACAGACACTTTATCCACCCAGAGCGCACACGGATCCCCAGCCAAGACATCCAAGTAGGCGTCTTTCTTATTGTGTGAGAGAAAGTGAGTCAACAGCCAGCCTGCAACAAGCCACAGGAGCCACAAACACGCACGCGCACACGCACACGCATGTATGATATCACCATTATGTTTCAATGGAATGGGCTTCTGTCTTGGTTTCATTGTGGAGGATGGACTTTAGGTGGGATGTATTGGTATAGTCAAGGTCACGGGTTAAGGTGCTAATAAGGTGCTAATAAGGTGCTATGTGTGCAGAGAGAAGTGACTGGTAATAATGGCTGTTTATGTGATGTACCAAGTGGAGAATGGGTGATTTGAAATGGGCATCATGATGAATTTTTTTTCCCTCATAAGGCAATTTATCCTCTGCATTTGACCCATCCTGCTGGGATGATTGGCGATGGTTGGAAAGGCTGATGGCACAGACTGGTTGCCTTGCTTCTGTCAGTCTGTCCCAGGGCAGCTGTGGCTAGTGTAGTACTTTGTCACCACCATGTATGGAGCGAAAGAATATTGGCAAAGTGGTGCTATAAAAACTAATGCATTATTTATTATTATTATTATTATTACATACTTTGGAACTCATTCATTCTTCCGCCAAGTAAGTCATGGCTGAACAATTTCTGCTTTCTGTTTGTGATATATTTGTAGATATATTTTGCTTTCACTCCTCTGATAGATTGTGGTATTTCTGGATTGGCTTCGTCGGATGGTAAATGTCACGAGGATGTTCCCTGTCCACTCAATCCTCAATAAAATCTAAATGTACTTTCTGAAGTTCAGAAGACTAATATTATCGATGGGAGTTTTAACAAATGTCTGTATCAATATGTGTGTATCAACATAACATCTGTTTGTGTTTGTGGCAGACCTATTTTCAAGTGTGTCCTAAATATAAATTATTTTTTTAGATGCACATTCACTCCTAAAATTGTGGTATTTCTGGATTATTTTTGTAATCTCCATCCATCCATCCATTTTCTTCCGCTTTATCCGTTGCCGGGTCGCGGGGGCAGCAGTCTAAGCAGAGACGCCCAGACTTCCCTATCCACACACACTTCCTCCAGCTCGTCCGGGGGGACCCCAAGGCGTTCCCAGGCCAGCTGAGAGACATAGTCTCTCCAGCGTGTCCTGGGTCTTCCCCGGGGCCTCCTCCCGGTGGGACGTGCCCGGAACACCTCCCCAGGAAGGCGTCCAGGAGGCATCCGGAACAGATGCCCGAGCCACCTCAACTGGTTCCTCTCGACGTGGAGAAGCAGCGGCTCTACTCCGAGCTCCTCCCGTAATCTCGTGAGAATATTTTCTGCCCAGTCAATCCTCAATAAATCCAATCCACCTTATATATGTAATGCATTTCAAATACTTATAGGGCTGGGTGATTTGGCAAAAAAGTAAAATATAGATTTTATTTCCTGCTTTGGACGATTTCGATTTTTGAACATCGAGTTTCATTACTGGCAAAGGAGATGGCTAAAGCTTGGAGACTCACTCGGGCACATTACATACGTCACGGTAAACTCAGATCCAATCGTTTCAATCTGCAAAAGCAGTTAACCCCTCCCACCTGTTCACGGAGCTCAATCCAGACCTTAGTACGAAATGGCTACAATGATATGGTAAGACCAGGCTAATACTGTTCAAAAGTTCATTTATTTCTGTAATTCAACCTAAAATGTGAAATCCATCGCTGTGACATTGTCAGATTAAAGTAAACTTTTTGAACGATTGTTCTAATTCTCCAAGTTTCACATGTTTATCTGTGGCGCATCAAAATAACATCATTTGGAATTTCAGAGTCAGAAAACTTTATGGATCCCAGAGGACAATTCATTTGCTGCATAATCTCAAAGCAAACACACACAGTTCACACAGCAGCAGATAACAATATAAGTTAAAAACAATACAATACAATACACAACTGGCTCAGTCCAAACATCCTCTGATCGCTGACTTTGACACGATGCCTTCAAGGAGACGTTTTAATGTTCCAGCTCGGAAAACATTATTGATTTGGTTATAACACTTTTGAACATGACAAAATGTTGAAAAGTCGAAGGTGTGACGTAAAAACTGAAGCAGTGAGAGTTCCAGGTTCTTTCCTTGTGTTAATTAATAATAATAATAATAATAATAATTGGAGGATACTGGTCCTGCTTTGCACTTTGGTCATTTGTGGTTTGTGGTTTTTGCATAAGGAAAGTGTACGGAGAATCCTGAGGGCTAAAATGTTGTGCAATTCCTTTGTGGCTCGTTCTAAATTATAAACAAAATAACATGTTTGAATGATTCTAAAAGAAAAGTAAAATGTTGGAACCTGTAATAATGATGCGTTTCAGCTTCCCAATAATAACTATATAGACTGATTGTTCAATAAACAAACAAAAAACAATATATTTTTGGCCTAAATTGTTATCGTCCGTACATATTTTTTTGCAAAAGCAGAGAGGTTGTTACTACTTTCTGTCATTTTTTTGTTTTTTGTTCCATATAACTAAATATATCCATTAATCGTTCCGTTTATTTTGGTTAGCTCATGCTTTTTAATGAAAAGAATCAATAGAAAATAGTCCTTTTTAGTAATTATTCTCATTTTCTGAAGCGATTTAGAAGCAGTTATCGTGACAGACCTAGTGATATGTCTTGATAGTTTGTAAATGGGTTAATCCCTTTTTATTAATTAATTGAACTAAACTAACTGAACTCTGAACAATTGTAACCTTGGTCTGTAAAAATGCGTTATATAATAGAGCTGCATGATATTGAAAATGAGTGCGATATTCGATATGAGTGTTTAGTATTGCGATAACGATATTATTACGATATTTTTGTCTTTCACCTAAAATTGCAATCTGCATCGAAACAACATTAATGACATTCAAATGCATATATTTTTATACTTTTTATTTGTTTCTTGTTCTTGTTGAATGTTGATGTGTCTGTCTGTATTGTTGTCTTTTATAAAGGAACATTTTTTTTTTTTATTGCGGATCTTTTTGATATGGAAACTGCACCAATATCACGATAACTATATATTTTCTATATATCGTGCTGCCCTTTATGCTGCTTATAAATACACATTACTGACTTACTTATTTAGTTATTTGCTCATCTATTTTCTTATGTTAAGTAGCGATAATATGAAAGGGTTAATGGTAGGGCTTGAATTAACAATTGTTTTGACAATCGAGTAGTTATTATTTTGATTGATTGATTTGGATCCTGAAAGCTGAGTGAATATAGATTTTTTTTTTAATATACATTTGACCAAAGCAAAAACCTCTCCTCATCATACTCTATGTATGTCTACAGTCTATGTGATCTTCAAAAACAGATGAATTGATTGACTAAACTAACAACTAGTTCCATAATCGATGAGTCCTATAACGTCGCTTGCTTCCTCGCTCCGCCGATGTGTTTTGCTGACGTGTTTGTGATTCATTGCTGTGTGTGGAGTAGGAGCCATGGTCACACCACACTCACATGCTGCTATCTTAATGCTGCACTCAAATACTTGGGGCTTTGCTGCTGGAAAGCGAAGCCTCCGGGAACAAGCGCGCTCTGCTTTTTAGGCCGTACGTGTCCCGCCGCATCCATGAATTAAACATGCATCCGGTTTTAGACTTAAGCGGGAGGTCTGGGTCACGGCTGTTTTTTTTAAAGTCGCTGTTTGTCCTTGTACATTGTGGCACTTTTTAAAGAGATTTTAATATTGAATGAAAGCAAACAGGGTGTTATTAGTTAGCCGTGGTTGTTGTAATCTAGTACAAAACGTATGAGTTATTAGCAGGGGGTGGAAACCAGGGACAGGAGTTGAAAATTAGTTAGCTATACACTCTGTATGTGTCGCATCAGCTGCATCTTTCCTAATGTAACTGTGTGACTACATTGTCCCTGTCAAATGAATACAAAAAAAAGGAGAAAACAATAATACTAATAATGCAGTCAGTGATTTATTTTTTCTGGACGTATTTTAAGTTATCATGTGTTTTCAAATAGTAATGGAATTGACCAGATGCTCTAGTACGTCCAGCCTTCCTATCCACACACACTTCCTCCAGCCTCATCCAGGGGACCACAAGGCGTTCCCAGGTCAGCTGAGAGACTATACTCCCTCCAGCGTGTCTGGGTCTGTCCCCGGGGTCTCTTTTTGAAAACATGAATTTGACTAATCAATACAAAAATCTGTTGACGTTAATTCATTTTGCTATTAAATCATATAATTGTTCATTATTGTCACAGCCAACATTAAGATTCCAGTAAAGGACGGACAGCACACATCCGACTGTGGGACTTTATCATTATTCACATGGGGCAACAAAAAGTTGCAGTACAAACAAAAACAAAGATACAAAAATAATGATAATAAAATACCTAAGGAAAATCAATTAAAAACAGTGACCGCAAGTTTAATTATATTTATTGTGTGTTGTTGCTGTTTTTCCCCTTTTTTTTTTAATTTATTTTG